CTGTGTGCAGAGCTCATGCCTGGAGGCCCTTTCTTATGGAATGTTTCAGAACCACAGTTAAAACTTTTTCTGGAGTACAATTCAGTTGTTCTTAGGTTTCTGTCAAGACTTCCTTAAAAATCTTTACCTGATTTTGATTATAATTCACATTCTCTGTTCCAGGATATTTAATCCTAAAAGTTAAGAACATGGTTAAGTAGAAACTGTTCAGATTAAGGGTGTCTCAACTTAATTTCTAGGAAAGGCACACAAGAATTGGTTGGGGAGATTGGGTGAGGCAGTGGGTAGTATATAAAACAACTTCCACTTAAACAAAGATAGGCTGAAAGACTAACACAGCTTTCTTGAAATATAAAGATCTGCCTTTCCATACTGTTATGACTTGGAAAAGAAAAAGTGGGGAGTGGAGGACAACTTCTGACACCTGGTATAATCCCATTTCTACCACCACCACCGTTGGAAATATTATGGACAATGAAAAGAAATGGTTTCTTCTATCAAGTCAATGAATTAGTCTGACTTTATAAATTGGTTATTTAATAAAATGAGTTATTAAAAAATAAAACAAAAAAAAAAACAACCACCACTCTCACCAAAGAAGTCAAAAGAAAGTTAACAAAGGTGTTGAAGACCTAAACTACACAGTCAGCCAACTCAACCCAGTGCTAAAATTCAATTCACTTTCCCCTCAAGTACACATAATACATTTTCCAGAATTCATCACATATTAGGGCAAAGGCAAGCCTTTATATATTAAAAAACATTGAAATAATACAAAGTATTTTCTCAGACTACAATGCCATAAAACTAGAAATTAACCATAAGAGGATAAATCTCATAAAGCCACCAATGTGGAAGCTAAATAACACCCTGCTAGAACATGATCAGGTTATGGAAGATAAAAATAATTAAATAAAAAAGTTCCTCAAAACAAATGACGATGGAAATACAATGTACCAAAATCTCTGGGATACAGCTAAGGAAGTTCTCAGAGGACAGTTCATGGCAATAGGCAAACACATAAACAAATAAATGAAGAAAGAAGCAAAATAAATTATCTAACTCAACACCTTCATGAAATGGAAAAAAACAACAATATAACCCAATAGGTTCGTGAAGAAAAAAAATAATTACAAGAATAAGAGCTGAAATCAATGAGAGAAAACAGAAAAAAATTAAAACCATCAAAAGACCAGGAGCTGGTTTTTTGAAAGGGTTAATAAAGTTGACAAAACATTAGCAAACTTAACAAAAGGTGGGGGGGAAAGGAGAAAACACAAATAACTTGATTAAGGAATGATAGAGGAAACATCTTGATTGAATGTTTGATCAACTTCTGACTGCAAAAGTTGGTAGAAATCTTCTATTCCCTCCTCTTCGATCCTAGTTGTTGGTGCATATATTTGAATGATAGTGGTATTCACTGGACTTCCTTGTATGCATATGGATATTATCCTATAATAATATATTATCCTATAATAATAATGGGCGACTGGAATGCAAAAGGTGGGTTCAGTAGCTGGAAAATACGGGCTCGGTGAGAGAAATGAGGCTGGAGATAGAATGATAGAGTTCTGCACATTCAATG